AAAAAAAAAAAAAAAAAAGATACTGGCACCTAAGGTGACGTCACATCTCACCTGCTACAGTGTGCTAAGGGCATCAGGTGCATGATCTTATCACAACCTCAGACCCCTGGTGTCCCCATTTTCACAGGAAGAAACAGGCTCAGAGAAGCTAAGAACCAAGAAGCAGGGGAAGCCAGACTCAAATTTATTTCTACATGGTGCCAAACTCCTGTCTGCCTCCTATGAAAACCTGCGGCATCAGGGCATCCATGTGCCACACTCTGAGGTTACTCTCTCCCCACGGGAGTGAGCTCCTCAAGGCAAGACCTAGGTCTCTCCTCTTGAACGCCTAGCACTGGCTTGCCTGGCACAAAACAGGTATCCAATTAAGGCTTGTCCAAACAGCTTATGGGTTTCAGACTCTCCAAAACATGGGGTAAAAACCATTTTCTTTCTTCTGAAGGTCTCTATGGGCAACAGGGGATAAAATATCCCACATAAATCTAGGGAGAAAGACATTTTTATGAATCAGAAAAGCAATTTAGTGTCAATAATGTATTAATCCAGGGACTTCCCTGGTGGCACAGTGGTTAAGAATCCTCCTACCAATGCAGCAGGCACGGGTTCGAGCCCTGGTCCGGGAAGATCCCACGTGCTGTGGAGCAACTAAGACCGTGTGCCACAACTACTGAGCCTGTGCTCTAGAGCCCACGAGCCACAACTACTGAGCCTGCATGCCACAACTACTGAAGCCTGCACGCCTAGAGCCCGTGCTCTGCAACAAGAGAAGCCACCGCAATGAGAAGCCCACATACCACAACAAAGAGTAGACCCCACTTGCCACAACTAGAGAAAGCCCGTGCACAGCAACGAAGACCCAAAACAGCCAAAAATAAATAAATTTTTAAAAAATGTATTAATCCGGTTGATGAAGAGTCCATACCTCACACTGCCCTCCTTCAAATGTGAAGATGCTGCTGTGTCTGTCTCACCTCTGCAAGGCTTTGTGCCTGAGATCCTCTTCTGGTTTAGGGAGAAACACTTTTGCTTTCAGGGAGTTCCCAATCACTATGCATGGAGGAAAACTCATTTATACTGATGTGTTCATTATAATTAAGAAGTCAGGAAATCTGTTCGCAATATTGGAACTTTTGTACCCCAAACTACTGCTTTAACTGGTTATCCTCAATCATCTGCAAAGCTCATTTATGCAGAATAATTTGTTCCCAAATATGTTAAATAATTGGAGCATTGAGACCATCACCAAATATACTAATGACCTACTCTCTCCTTAATTAACATATTTAAAATAACCTAAATTATAAGTCTGGTCCAGAGGTGCCTCCGTTGAATGTGCTGAGAGATGAGGGGAAATGACACAATGTGAATGGAGCCAAAGCATCTCACTTGCTAAGGGTGAGTTAAGCATATCAGTTAACTGTGTCCTAGTGTTGGTCTCAGTCTAACTACATCTTCAGTTTTCATCCTGGTCTATGACAAAAGGTTGCTACAATGTTTGGTGAGTAAAATGATTTCTTCTAGGTGATCGAAGTGGGTGCTCTTCTATGATTAGAAGATAAAATAACTCTATGCATACAGTGGAGCATGTGAATCTATGCACATGCTCCAGCTTTTGAGACCACAAATAATAGAGCAGTGAGTCCTGATACAGACCAGCACACCCTTTAACCCAGCAACTCATTTCTAGAAATAGCTCTAAGAAAATAAACTCCTCAGACAAGATTTATACACAAAGTTGATCCTTAACAAAGAGCAAAAACCTAGAAACAACCTAAATATACAACAATTAAAAGGTAGTTAGATTATGAGATTTTCATATGGTAGAATATGCATTCATTCTAATATAGAGTGTTTTTGAAGAATATTTAATGGTCATTTTAAAATACTTTAAAAAGTAGAAATTTACAGTATAATACTGCCTTTATACTTACAGATCATACAACAGAGAGAGAGCCATAAATAGACATATATATATGCATATACCCACTACACTTGCTTACATGGGGCTGTCTCTGGAACAAGCAGAAGAGTGAAGAAGAAAAATCTGGAAAATGAATGAAGCATATCGAAATGGTTACTGGTTATCTTCTGTTGGTGGAATTGCACGATTCTTATTTTTATCTTTGTATCTTTATTTTCCAAATTTCTATGAGAACCTAAACTCTTGTGATTCAGAGAAAAAAATTAAAATTAAAACAAAATCAGATTAATAAACTGTATTTCAAGAAAGCTTGTCTATTGAAAAATTATCTTGATATTATTCTGAAAACTCAGAGACACAGATATAAGGATAAAGATACCCATCCATTTTGGGTTTCTGTTTTGCAGTTTTTGAAAACACTTTATATCCCTGTGGTTACCAGGGGCTGCAGGGAAGAAGAGGGGAGTTGTTGTTTAATGAGTACAGAGTAAAAAAAATATGCATTTACCTCTTGATTCAGGAATCCCATTCTAAGAATCTATCACAAAAATATATTGGCAAAAAAATGAAATGGCATATGCTCAAGGCTATTCATTTTAACAGTTTTATAACAGCAAAGTAATGGAAAAAACATAAATGCCTATCAATAGGGGAATAAATAGGGTACAACCTTACAATTTTAATAAGTTTTCATCAGAAACAGTACAGTTTCTTAATTGAAGTAGAGTTAATATACAATATTATGTAAGTTACAGGTGTATAATATAGTGATTCACAATTTTTAAAGGTTATACTTTATTTATAGTTATTATAAAATATTGGCTATATTCTCATATTGTACAATATATACTTGTAGATTATTTTATACATAATAATTTGTACCTCTTAATCCCCTATCCCTATATTACCCCTCTCCCCTTCCCTCTCCCCACTGGTAACCACCAGTTTGTTCTCCATATCTGTGAGTCTGTTTCTTTTTTGTTATATTCACTAGTTTGTTGTATTTTTTAGATTCCACATATAAGTGATATCATACAGATCCTGAATAGCCAAAACAACCTTGAGAGAGAAGAACAGAGCTGAAGGAAATTATGCTCCCTGACTTGACTATGCTTCAAAGCTACAGTAATCAAAACAGTATGGTACTGGCACAAAAACAGATACATAGATCAATGGAACAGAATAGAGAGCCCAGAAATAAACCCATGCACTCATGGTCAATTATTCTACAACAAAGGAGACAAGAATATGCAATGGAGAAAAGACAGTCTCTTTAATAAATGGTGCTCTGGAAAACGGTACAGATACCTGTAAAGGAATGAAATTAGAGCATTCTCTAAGACCATATACAAAAATAAACTCAAAATGGATTAAATACCTAAATTAAAACTGAAAACCATAAACCTCCTAGAGGAAAACACAGGCAGAACACTCTTTGACATAAATCGTAGCAATATTCTTTTTGATCTGTCTCCTAAAGCAATAAGGAGCAATAAGGAAATAAAACCAAAAATAAGCAAATGGGACCTAATTAAACTTAAAATCTTTTGCACAGCAAAGGAAATCATCAACAAAACAAAATGACAACATACTGAATGGGAGAAAATATTTGCAAATTATATGACCAATAAGGGGCTAATACTCAACATATGTAAACAGCTCATACAACTCAACATCAAAAAACAAACAACCTGATTTTTAAATGGGCAGGAGAGGGCTTCCCTGGTGGCACAGTGGTTGAGAGTCCGCTTGCCGATGCAGGGGACATGGGTTCGTGCCCTGGTCCGGGAAGATCCCACATGCCGCGGAGCGGCTGGGCCCGTGAGCCATGGCCGCTGAGCCTGCGCGTCCGGAGCCTGTGCTCCGCAACGGGAGAGGCCACAACAGTGAGAGGCCCACGTACCACAAAAATAAAATAAAAATAAAAAATGAAAAGCAGCCCAAAAAGCTTAACAAACACCTCATCAAAGAAGATATAC